GAGAGAGAGAGTTACAATAAAATTTGCAGTCACTGCAGCTAAAAGAGAAAAAGAGAGTGTGTGCATTAATACCTAAAAAGTAAAGTAAACAAAACAACATAACGGCAGGCATATTATAACAAAGTATGCAATCATAAAAGTTGCCAGATGTAAAGATTTCAAGCGTTTTTACTTTAAATTTATAAATAAAGATTTCCATGGCAGCTTTGTGTTATTAAATATTGTAATTTTAATGTTTTAAGTAAAAAACATAAAGTAAAATGATAAATCTATAAAATAATATAGAAAGATAACATCATTCACTTGGAATGATGATAACAGGGAAAGAAACAAGTTTAAATGTTTTCAATTTTTAACTAATTTATGGACATTACCATAATAAATGTAGGGAAAATAAACAAAACTCATCAATTAACGGATTTTTTTTTTTGATAGTACCTATGGCAACTTCTTAAATAAATCCTTTCAAACTAAGTCCCTTAAATGAAGTTACAAGTAGTTATATAAAATAACATTATTTTCCTGCATTCTTCTTCTCACTTCTCATAATTTTTATTTCATATAAATGCATGTTTTGTTGTTTTCCCCCCCTAACAATTTTTGTTATTATTGAATAGAAATAATGTTTAACAACCCTTGAACGTCTGTTGTAAATTATTTATACAAATACAAATTCAATAATATGCTAACAATTCTTTCTAGAGAGTGAGGCAACAGACAGACAGGGGGTTTGTCAAACAAATAAAAAAAATGACAACCTAACCTCAATATTTTATTTACTGTATAAAAAAGTACGTTACTTTTTCCGTAAAAGGGTTGTTAAACTAATATAACTTAATCGTTTAACATTAATCAAAATTTCATAAATTTACTTTTAATTGTTTTAAATAATAGATATCATATTTCCTTGAAAGGATATAATAGAATATACTAGAAGAAGAGGTAATTGTAAAAGGGGTTAGAAATATAAAATAATATTAACACAAGTCTTTGGGGAAGTACTATAACTTATTAAAATATAAAATGTTTTTCTAGTTATTATGATTTTAAGATAAAGAAATTTTACTAATGAGGGAAATAATTGTTGATTTCAGGATTAAATTATTTTTTTATAATTTTGGAATTATATTATATCTGTTCAATAATTGAAAGTTGTTACTAATTAGTAACAATTGTTACTGGAAAAGCGTTCATTAACTTAAAAATCTATTACTCTCTCGTTGCAAGTACATATTTACTGGGAAAGTAAATGAACAGACCTATTATTTACTTAATTTCATATTATTATTCTTTATCGTGGGAAAGTTTATTTTTAATCTAAAATATTTGTTTTTGGCTTCAAATATTTATCTAACCACAAACAAAGCTTTTTTAAAATTTTATTAAAAATAATGGTTTCAACTGCTCTATTCTATAAAATGTTTTCAATTTATAACATATTAAATTGAAGTAGTATGATAAATGACTTTTAAAGGCTTGGTATAGTCTGGTAATTTCACTTTATAACTGTCATTCACCTGGAATGTTAACTGCGTTAATAAATTTAGAATCGCAATTTTTAATGTATTATGTCATTCACTCGAAATGATAGCAGGCAAAGTTTATAATCTCAAAACATTTAAAATGTTTTCAATTTTAAACTGGTTTCAATTAAAATATAACTATAAATGGCCCTCAAAATACTTAATACAGTGTAGTAACTTGTTTTACCTATTTTATAAAAAAATTGGCATTCACTTTGATTGATAACAGGTAAAAAATGAAAAAGTGTCTTCCAAAAATTGTTATCAATAAAAATGTCTTCAAAAAACAATTTTCAATAGAAAATAGTCTTCTTTAGAGAGTTTGGATAACAGTTATCCCATATGTTACTAATTCGCTTTGTATACGCCTTTTATAAAAATCTACCACAAGTTATTATTACAAATAACATATTGACCACCGCCAGTAATAACACCAGCCGCAACAACTGTTACATTATTACAATCCACAATCATTTTTCATAATTTGTCTGACATTTCATCGAAAACGACAATACCAGAGAAGCAACTCTTCGCAATAATTAAATATCAATTTGCCAACGCGCTAAAATAAGAGTAAATTCGCAATAACAAGAGAAAACCAAACGCAAAACAAGAAAATGCTGGACAAAACATGTAATTTATTTATTTGTTGTAACCACAAAACAAACCACCTTTCAATCAATATGCGTCATCTGTTTTGTTTAAACAGTTAATATTATAAATTATCCTTTTCTTTTTGTGCATTTTCAAAACACATCTTCCTTGACCGCATCCTGCTTTTTAGGTTCTTTTTTTTTGTTTCTTTTTAGTCAATTATTGTTTTTCTTTTGAAACTTTTTTTATTTCCGATAACTTTTTTTAAAACTGTCAATATTTCTCTTTGTTGCTGCTGCAGTTATTGTCTAAACCACAAACATAAACAAATTGTTGCCAACATGTTGATAAATAACAATGTTGCTAATAGTTTTCTGTTTATTATAGCGTTTTTAACTTTTGATGTTAGCTTTTAATAGAAAATTGTGCTCTGAAGACAGCTTTCTATAGAAATTTCTTCCCGAAATAGTTTTTAATAGAAAATTCTCTTTCCAAGAAAGTTTTTAATAGAAAAATTATTTTTTATAAACAGTTTTTAATAGAAAATTCTATTCCCAACAGAAATTTGTGTGATTGAGACAGTTTTGAACAGAAATTTGTGTTCCTAAGACAATATTCAATAGAAATTTGTTTTCCGAAGTTAGCTTTGAATAGAAAATTTTTTTAACGATAATTTGCTACAGAAGAGTGGGGAGTTCTGAAAACAGTTTTCGATAGACAATTTTGTTTCGGAGAAAGTTGTTGTCCCAGACAGTTATCAGTAGAAAATTGTCTTCCTAATATAAAATATTTTTTAAAGTCCATTTTGAGGTTAGTTTTCTATACCTTCTATAAAATATGTAATTTCTAGCGGTTTTTTTATTACGTTTAATTTAACGGCAAATTGTCTTGGAATAATTTGCCCACATTTGCAGATAATAAGAAAAGTTTTTGCTGCTGCTCTGCGGGTGTTGTTGGTTGACTGCATTTTTATGTGGTGCGTAACTTTAGCCATCCGTTGGTTTAATTTTTTAGCTTTTTTTTTTTAAATTTTTCTTTTAAAATTGGTTTATTCTTGTTGTTGCTTGACTTGTATTTTGTGTGTTGGTTTTTTTTTAGAAAAAAAAAACTGGAAACAATAAAATCATTTCATTTTCTATGTGTGTCTTTTTTGCTTAAAAAAAAAATTGTGTTTTTTCCATTTTTAGTTGTTTTAACTTGTTTAGAATGCTTTTTTGTTGAAAATAATGGTTGAGGGCAAAAGTTTTTTTTCTATTTAAGATATTATTATCAGAATAATGTTGTTTTTATGAAGTGAATATTATATTGTTATTAAATAGTCACAAATGCTCATTCACACGATGTGATACAAAGCTAAAAGGTTAATAACGGGTAACTTTTTTCATCACTCTTTTACTTAGCGAAAAAAGCTAAATTATTAAAACATTTTAATAATTTTTGTAAAATTTACATTTTTCTAAATTTATTTCATTATAAACTAAATTATTTTTATATTTTTTAATATTAAATAAACAATTTTTAATGTTCATTAATTGGCCAGTCTACTAACATCAGGTAACTTCTTTACTAATTGTCATTCACTCGAAATGATAACACAGCTGCCAAAGAAGGTTAATTAATATATGGTAACTCTTTTTTCATCTTAAAGTAAAATTTACCTTAATGAATAAAACATTTTAAGAAATTCCCTAAATTTGAAATAAAGTAAATCAAAAACATTTTTACTAACCCTATAAACTTGTCATGTTCAATTATTATTACAAAAATATTTGTTTAAAAATAATTTTTCGTTGAAACAAAAAAAAATCTCTAAACACTTCCTTATTTCATAGAAAGAAATTTCTTAAATAAACAAAACAAACAAATATGAAAAGTAAACATTAGTTTATTTTTATTTAGGTATAAATATAAGCTTTCTAATCACTAACTTTTTGTTGTTCTGTTAAGCTTAAAAAACATTCTCCCGCTGGGTTGCATTTAGAAAACAAAATTATTATTTTGGGGTTAAAAGCGACAACTAATATTATATTATAAACGCCAACATCATTATGATATTTGTCATCATTCATCATATAAACATACACACTCACACAAACAAATGTAAATGAAAATTGTGTGTAAATGTGTGTGCTTTTTGTTATTTTTATTCTTGACAACAACCTCCACCTATAACAAAAACACCCTTCCCTCTTTTCTCTTGCCAGCTCTTCTTTTTTTTCGTTTTTCTATTTCTTGTTTGTCATTTTCTTGTATGCAGATGCTTGTTTTTGTTTTTAATATTGTTGTTGTTGTTTTTTGGGGTCTTAGTACATTCAACCTGTCGCTCTAATGCATTTTTATGTTTATTATTAATGTTTTTTGTTGTACTTTTGGTCTGTCTTATTTTAGTATCTATACATATCAACAACAAATACTAACGATGACGTTTTATATTGCAACATTGACTTTTGTTGCTCTTTTTAGTTTTCTTTAGATTTTTTTCCGTTTACTTTAGTTGCTGTTGTCGTTTTAAGCTACTTTTTATATTTTTTGTATGTTGTTTACATTTCTTCTTTATATATTTAGTTAATTTTTCTCTTTGAAGAGTATTAGCGTTTTTACTCTCTTTAAGTTTCTAATGAATTCTTGTTGTGAAATGCATTATTCATTATTTATTTTCTGTTATTTATCTTTATAACACACAATTTGCTATTTCCCAGTAAAGCGGAAGTATGCATTTTACTGGGAAATATATACGGAAAACACTACACTCAATAATTAACCCAAATTGGTTAGTAATTCTGCTAAATATCATGCAAAACATTGGGAGGTTGGAAATGTTGTTTAAGAAAATTTACCAGAAATTATTATTAATCTTTCATTTTTATTCCTTTATCTTTTTAGCAAAAAACCGAATTAAGTCCTCCCACACATCAATCATTAATCAATGCCGAAACCTCATCACAAAATAGTCGAGATGCTGTTTCAATATCAACAACATCAAATACACATACATCATCCGCCTCTTCAAATACAGCCGGTAATCAATCCTCTTCATCATCGTCGCATCATAAAACGAATGCTAATAATGAAGGAGGTAAACATGCAACAGGTTCAACGACGTCTGTCGGTCATAAAACAGTCTCAACGTCCAGTTCTATAACGGCCAAAGAAAGAGAAGAACGTTATGCTGCTGCTCAAGCAGCCATAGCAGCAGCAAATGGTGGTAATGTTACAGCGAGTTCAACAACAACGGCCGCTACAACAGCATCAGCTACAGCTGGCGGCAATGCTCCTAGTTTATATGTTTCCGTGCCACTATCAACAGCAAATGTACCTGGAATAAATTTACCCACAAATTCCTCAACAGCAGGAGGTAATTATCATAATTTGACCATAAATTGTATAAATTATTAATTATTTTATTTCTATATTATTAGAACACACCAGCTCACAAACTACCCGCTCAACTAGTCAGCTACAACAGCAATCATCAGCCGCCTCATCTTCATCATCCTCCGCCGCCGCCAATACTTTAGATCGTCAATCACCTTTTAATGCTGCAGCATCCTCCACCACTTCAATACCTTCTCCTGCTAACGCTCAACAACAGCAACATGGTGTTATTTATCAAAGTGGTAAATCACCCAATCCTTCTTCAGCATCTTCAACCACCAACAACCCTTCAACATCCTCCTCTACGGCGGGCATTAATTTGACTGCTTCTACCACCGAAACGGGCAATTTAAAGATTAGCTATGAGAAACAATCCTCTAGACTTAGCCAGATTCAAGAACAAGAAACGGCTCCGATACGTAGATCAAGGTTAGTAACTTTTTGATTTTTAAAATTGATTTAAATTTTCTTTACAAAACAATTTTAACACTATGATTTTTTTTTAAACACACATACATATTAACACCATTATTTTACGACTTTTTTTGGTAAATTAAAGAACTTATTTGTAAAAAAAAGAAATGTTGGAAAACTTTTTTTATTTTAGAAAATAAGTTTTTTTTAGAATATAAACAGATTAAGGGAAATGTAGAAGCAATTAATTTGTTCTTCTAAAAGAAAAGTTCTCTCAAAATTTTTTTTGAGAAAGAAGTTTTCTAGTTCAGTTCTAGTTCAGTTTTAGTTCAGTTCTAGTTCAGTTCTAGTTCAGATCTAGTTCAGTTCTAGTTCAGTTCTAGTTCAGTTCTAGTTCAGTTCTAGTTCAGTTCTAGTTCAGTTTTAATTCAGTTCTAGTTCCGTTCTAGTTCCGTTCTAGTTCAGTTCTAGTTCAGTTATAGTTCAATTCTTGTTTAGTTCTAGTTCAGTTCTAGTTCAGTTCTAGTTCAGTTCTAGTTCAGTTCTAGTTCAGTTCCAGTTCAGTTCTAGTTCAGTTCTAGTTCAGTTCTAGTTCAGTTCTAGTTCAGTTCTAGTTCATTTCTAGTTCAATTCTAGTTCAGTTCTAGTTCAGTTCTAGTTCAGTTCTAGTTCAGTTCTAGTTCAGTTCTAGTTCAGTTCTAGTTCAGTTCTGGTTCAGTTCTAGCTTAGTTCTAGTTCAGTTCTAGTACAGTTCTACTTTAGTTCTAGTTCAGTTCTAGTTCAGTTCCAGTACAGTTCTAGTTCAGTTCTAGTTCAGTTCTAGTTCAGTTCTAGTTCAGTTCTAGTTCAGTTCTAGTTCAGTTCTAGTTCAGTTCTAGTTCAGTTCTAGTTCAGTTCTAGTTCAGTTCTAGTTCAGTTCTAGTTCAGTTCTAGTTCAGTTCTAGTTCAGTTCTAGTCCAGTTCTAGTTCAGTTCTAGTTCAGTTCTAGTTCAGTTCTAGTTCAGTTCTAGTTCAGTTCTAGTTCAGTTCTAGTTTAGTTCAAGTTCATTCTAGTTCAGTTCTAGTTCAGTTCTAGTTCAGTTCTAGTTCAGTTCTAGTTCTAGTTCAGTTCTAGTTCAGTTCTAGTTCAGTTCTAGTTCAGTTCTAGTTCAGTTCTAGTTCAGTTCTAGTTCAGTTCTAGTTCAGTTCTAGTTCAGTTCTAGTTCAGTTCTAGTTCAGTTCTAGTTCAGTTCTAGTTCAGTTCTAGTTCCGTTCTAGTTCCGTTCTAGTTCAGTTCTAGTTCAGTTATAGTTCAATTCTTGTTTAGTTCTAGTTCAGTTCTAGTTCAGTTCTAGTTCAGTTCTAGCTTAGTTCTAGTTCAGTTCTAGTTCAGTTCTAGTTCAGTTCTACTTTAGTTCTAGTTCAGTTCTAGTTCAGTTCTAGTACAGTTCTGGTTCAGTTCTAGTTCAGTTCTAGTTCCGTTCTAGTTCCGTTCTAGTTCAGTTCTAGTTCAGTTCTAGTTCAGTTTTAGTTCAGTTCTAGTTCAGTTCTAGTTCAGTTCTAGTTCAGTTCTAGTTCAGTTGTAGTTCAGTTCTAGTTCAGTTCTAGTTCAATTCTAGTTCAGTTCTAGTTCAGTTCTGGTTCAGTTCTAGCTTAGTTCTAGTTCAGTTCTACTTTAGTTCTAGTTCAGTTCTGTTCCAGTTCAGTTCTAGTTCAGCTCAAGTTCAGTTCTACTTCACTTCTAGTTCAGTTCTATTCTGGTTAAATTCGAAATTCGTCCAGTTGCTTTTAATCTGTTTACATTCTTAATAATGCATGTCATTTTTAAAATTATTTTGTTTTACACATATTTTTAAGTATATTTTTTAATTAATTACTTTTTCTTAAAAAAAAAAAAAAAAAAACTTCTTATTATCTCTTCAAAAATGTCTTTGGTTATTATTGGACTGTAAATTATTTTTCTTGCTTTTTAAGAAAATTAAAAAAAAAAATCTTAAGACTGGTTGCTGTTCGAATCTGATAAAAAAATAAAAAAAAAATTAACAAAAAATTGCTATGTATATAAAAAAACAATTGTATAAATTTATACTAAAAAATTAAACAGAATACAAAATTAATTCACTCTAATCATCCATTTTCTAAATGAAAACAAATGTTTTGGAATAGGCCGAGAAATAGACGCCCTTTTTCCCATTTTCCCTCAAATTTTCATTACCATTATATGATTTCAGATCCCCTGGGGTTTAGCAAAACAAAAAGTTTAAAAATCTCTTATGTTCTTAAGTCCTTTTGTTGGGTTTATTGCTTTCAAAAAATTTTACACTAAATACTCCTTTTCAAAATGTTTTTGTATAAAAAAAACTAAATAATTTTACCAAAGTGAATTAATTATTCTTTTGGAAAGAAATATAAGTGATTTATTACATACATAAGTTTTAACTTTTCAAGCAAATTATTTGTAGATCAATAAAATTTATTATTGCCCGGTGAAACCCCGTCTTTTCATTAAGCATTTTCCTATTTTAAACCCTTTTATTAAGCTTTAATTTCCTTTTAAATGTTAGTTTTGTTTATTATTAATCATTTCATTTTTGCTACTACTACTTTTGCATTTCTCTCCTTTTTTTTGTTTGTATTATGTGTTTGTTTGTTTTTTGGGAAAAAAAATATAAAAATTCATTTTTGTTGTTATCATTTCCATAATTTCTCCAAATTTACTACGTCCTCCCTACTCCCAACAACTCACTCCAATCAAACATATTTGTTTCAAAACACCACACACACATATTTAACATTGAAAATTACAAGATTTTTCTTTCATTTTTAAAAGAAATGTTTAAAACCAACAAAGTACCAGTCAAAGAAATATAAATTTTATTTCTTTTTTTCTCTCTTTCCAACACAAAAAACAAAAATTTTATTAAATTTTTCGTAATTTTTGAAAAAAAAAATAAACATAAACACTTTTAAAAACGTTACAAATAAACCGAAAAAACACGATAATTAGATCACGCTCAGGTGAAAGTAGTATGTTGCAAGCACAACAACAGCAGCAACAACAAAATACTAGCCAAAAATCTAACTCCAGATCGGGTAAAAAAAGGGCTGCTTCTAATAAAACACAAAATACAAATGCTACAACTACAACTGATAATGCAGCAAATCCACCACAAGAGAAATTAACAAAAACTGCAAATAATACAACAACAACTGCAGCAGCAGCTAATGCCAACTCATCCTCTTCACCAGTACCGCATTATCATAATGATTTGACTACACCCACACCACCGCCCTTAGCTCCCTCACCATTATCATTACCGCCGCCAAGTAGTACACCAACACCCTCAACACGTACTTCCACACCCAATAGCACACCAACGGCCACACCTTCAGCCTCTCCGGTGGTAATGTTGCAAAGTTCCTCCAGCAATAGCAGCAGCAGTAATAGTGATCATAATACTTCTACTGCAGCTGTAACCCGGCAACAGGCAGCTGCTTCTTCTAATGCCTCTTCCTCCTCGTCGTCTACGTCTTCATCATCATCTTCTAATACTTCTACAAATGCAGCAGTTAGAAGAAAAAGTAATGCAACTTCCCCTTTGCCAGCTTCAGCAGCAGCAGGAGGTTCAAGTGGTATTACTGCTACGACTAACGCGGCCACAGCAACCAATCTTACAAACTCAAATAGCAATAATAGCAACAAAAATAATAACCACAGCCACAATGACCAAAGCATTTCTTCTTCCTCCTCTTCTTCATCTACAACTTCTACAACTTTTTCTAAAAATTCTCTTAATAATAACACAAATACTTCAACAACCAACAACAATAATAATAATAATAACAACAATAGTCTTATTAGTAGCAGTAGTCATAGTTCTATAAATAGTAGTAGCAATAGCAGTAGTAGTAAACACATAATAACCATAGTCATCATAGTAGTAGCAATACAGAAGTTGCTGAAACTTCACCACCACCTCCAACAACAACATCCAACACTTCAACGTCAACTCCAACAACAACATCTAATAACAATAAACCTTTGAATAAGAAAATGTTAAGAGCTCAACAAAATCAGTTGCAACAACAACAACAGCAACAAATGGCTGCAGCAGCTCAAGCTGCCAACAATAATAAACAACAGCAGCAATCGCCTGAGCGTTTGACCAAAACCAATAACCAACAAAATAATAATAATAATAAAACAATTCCCTTAATAATGCTTTCACTACTAATGCTTCAGCTGTCACTACTTCTTCAACAGCTTCTACTTCTTCTTCATCTAATACTAAAACTAATTCTTCTACTGCTACAGCCAACAGCACTTCTACTACTAACTCCTCCTCATCCTCTTCCCTTAATACTTCCTCTTCCTCCTCTACTTCTGCTACTTCTGTCACTACTACTAGTACTAATAATGCTTCTTCTTCTTCATCAGCTAATAAACAGCTGCTGCAGCAGCAATCACAAAATGTTGCTGCTAATAAGAATAGCAATAACAATAACGATAATAATAATGATATTATAGAAATTTTGCCATTAACCACAATTTCTACAAATTCTCTTTCTTCTTCTACTACCCTGCCTATAACTACAACATCAACAATATCTACCACTTCTCCAATAAATGGCCAAAACAAACCAAATAACCCCAATAATAACAATCCTTCAAATGCCAATGCCAACACCATCCAACAAAACACTAATACTACCGCTACTACCACCAACAACACCTCCACCACGAACTCCAATACCAATCCTAACAATAAACTTAACAATTCAACGTCTTCATCATCTTTATCATCACCAACAACAACGAAATCCCTTAATAAAACGTTAAATTCTGCTGGTAATCCCACAACAACAACTTCAAACAACAGAACACCTGATAGTGGTGTATTCTCTTCCTCCTCCTTCAACATTAGCAATGCCAGCTCCTGTTCTACATCTTCGCTCGCTAGTGCTGCAGGTGGTGGTTTAAAATTCTCCTATGAACCTCAATCTAACGCCACGAATCTACCACCCAGTATTGATACCACAAATCCAGCTGCATTAACGAATATTGTTAAAGATTCTCCACCCAGTTCACCGGGTTCAGAGGCTGGTTCTCAGCGTAAACGTGGCCGTAAAGCAAAGGACTCAGCCGCCAGTACATCAAACACAAATGTTCTCATGGCCAATGATCTCAAAGATATAAAATTATTCCAAAATGGTGGTGTAACAGCGGCGACAACTACCAGCGCTGCTATAGCTGCAGCAGCAGCTGCTGTCTCTTCATTAGCACCGGTTTGCGCTGCCTCAACAACCACCACTTCGTCTTCGATAAATGTTACGGCGGCTGCTCATATGTTGGGCAATCATATTAATCCGAATAGTAGTGTGGCCCAGAAGTTATCGGATCAATTGAGTATGGAGATACAGGATCATAGTGTTTATAGTGCTGATCCGCCAGCGCCTCAATTTATGGGTGTACCGTTTCCGGGAAAAATGGTAAGTGTTTATTTTCATATCATTTATTACTCAGTTCTTGTTAAGTTCTAGTTCAGTTCTATTTCAGTTCTAGTTCAGTTCTAGTTCATTTCTAATTCAGTTCTAATCCAGTTCTAATTCAGCTCTAGTTCAGTTCTAGTTCAGTTCCAGTTCAGTTCTAGTTCAGTTCTAGTTCAGTTCTAGTTCAGTTCTAGTTCAGTTCTAGTTCAGTTCTAGTTCAGTTCTAGTTCAGTTCTAGTTCAGTTCTAGTTCAGTTCTAGTTCAGTTCTAGTTCAGTTCTAGTTCAGTTCTAGTTCAGTTCTAGTTCAGTTCTAGTTCAGTTCTAGTTCAGTTCTAGTTCAGTTCTAGTTCAGTTCTAGTTCTTTAGTTCAGTTCTAGTTCAGTTCTAGTTCAGTTCTAGTTCAGTTCTAGTTCAGTTCTAGTTCAGTTCTAGTTCAGTTCTAGTTCAGTTCTAGTTCAGTTCTAGTTCAGTTCTAGTTCAGTTCTAGTTCAGTTCTAGTTCAGTTCTAGTTCAGTTCTAGTTCAGTTCTAGTTCAGTTCTAGTTCAGTTCTAGTTCAGTTCTAGTTCAGTTCTAGTTCAGTTCTAGTTCAGTTCTAGTTCAGTTCTAGTTCAGTTCTAGTTCAGTTCTAGTTCCGTTCTAGTTCAGTTCTAGTTCAGTTCTAGTTCAGTTCTAGTTCAGTTCTAGTTCACTTCTAGTTCACTTCTATTTCAGTTCTAATTCAGTTCTAGTTCAGTTCTAATTCATTTCTAATTTAGTTCTAATTCAGTTCTAATTCAGTTCTAATTCAGTCTAGTTCAGTTCTAGTTCAGTTCTAGTTCAGTTCTAGTTCAGTTCTAGTTCAGTTCTAGTTCAGTTCTAGTTCAGTTCTAGTTCAGTTCTAGTTCAGTTCTAGTTCAGTTCTAGTTCAGTTCTAGTTCAGTTCTAGTTCAGTTCTAGTTCAGTTCTAGTTCAGTTCTAGTTCAGTTCTAGTTCAGTTCTAGTTCAGTTCTAGTTCAGTTCTAGTTCAGTTCTAGTTCAGTTCTAGTTCAGTTCTAGTTCAGTTCAGTTCTAGTTCAGTTCTAGTTCAGTTCTAGTTCAGTTCTAGTTCAGTTCTAGTTCAGTTCTAGTTCAGTTCTAGTTCAGTTCTAGTTCAGTTCTAGTTCAGTTCTAGTTCAGTTCTAGTTCAGTTCTAGTTCAGTTCTAGTTCAGTTCTAGTTCAGTTCTAGTTCAGTTCTAGTTCAGTTCTAGTTCAGTTCTAGTTCAGTTCTAGTTCAGTTCTAGTTCAGTTCTAGTTCAGTTCTAGTTCAGTTCTAGTTCAGTTCTAGTTCAGTTCTAGTTCAGTTCTAGTTCAGTTCTAGTTCAGTTCTAGTTTTCAGTTCTAGTTCAGTTCTAGTTCAGTTCTAGTTCAGTTCTAGTTCAGTTCTAGTTCAGTTCTAGTTCAGTTCTAGTTCAGTTCTAGTTCAGTTCTAGTTCAGTTTTAGTTCAGTTCTAGTTCAGTTCTAGTTCAGTTCTAGTTCAGTTCTAGTTCAGTTCTAGTTCAGTTCTAGTTCAGTTCAAGTTCAGTTCTAGTTCAGTTCTAGTTCAGTTCTAGTTCAGTTCTAGTTCAGTTCTAGTTCAGTTCTAGTTCAGATTTAGTTCAGTTCCAGTTCAGTTCTAGTTCAGTTCTTGTTCAGTTATAATTCAGTTTAAGTTCAGTTCTAGATCAGTTCTAATTCAGTTTAAGTTTAGTTCTAGCTCAGTTCTAGTTCAGTTCTAGTTCAGTTCTAGTTCAGATTTAGTTCAGTTCTAGTTCAGTTCCAGTTCAGTTCTAGTTCAGTTCTTGTTCAGTTCTAATTCAGTTTAAGTTCAGTTCTAGATCAGTTCTTTTCAGTTCTAATTCAGTTTAAGTTCAGTTCTTGTTTAGTTCTTAAACTAATTAAGTTCCTAAACTAATCGAACTTTTCCATTTTTATCGCAGCGCAACTCTACGAATACACCAGCAGCCCCCTCAACTACAGTGGCATCAACGGGTCCCAGTCCTTTGGCTTCAATGTTTGGCAGTGGAGCAAATGGCAATCTAGCCATACCACAAAGTCTAGAGCAATTATTAGAGCGTCAATGGGAGCAAGGATCACAATTCTTAATGGAGCAAGCTCAACATTTTGATAGTAAGTTTATTTATTAAACTTTACAACAATATCTTTATTAACTATTGATTTTCATTGCAGTTGCCTCTTTATTATCTTGTTTACATCAATTACAATCAGAAAATGTAAGATTAGAGGAGCATGTCTCTAGCTTAATAGCAAGAAGAGATCATTTATTAGCTGTTAATGCTAGATTAGCTATACCGCTCAATACAAACACAACACAGAGTCAAGGTAAGTAGTAATGAAAAACAGAAAACAAGAAGGAACTATATACCACTTGTACTTACTTGTTGGTCCCTTATTTTTGAAAAGAAAAAGAGAATAAAGGGATGTAAAAACTAAAAAAAACTCTGTGTCTGTTGAAAAAGTTAACCTTGGCAAACATACATTTTAATGTTATGTGGACAAATGCCACCAAAAATTTTGTTCTCTCACAAAACTAAAGAAAAAACCTGGCTCCTTAAAACAAAGAATACAAAGCGTACAAAACAAATATAATTTATAATTTAAAAAAAAAATTGATAAAAATATAAAAATATTACTTTTAAATATAAAATTACAACTAATTTTAAGTTTTGGCTTAATACTAAATAAAGTTAAAGTTATTTTTTTTTAATCATACCTATAATTAAATCATTTATTACAAATTTTGGATATTGTGTATTTTTTTTTTTTTTATTTTACTTTCATTTAATTACGTATTTGTATATATAGTTTAAATCTATTACTTTCACACTTAAACAAACACTTACACCTTTCCTATTACATATATTAATGTATAATTACAACTATATATTACAATTTAAAATGTGTATTATACAAATTAAATTATATATAAAATCGTATCCCTTTAGTTAAGTACCTTTAACACTTTTAAATTAATACAATTTCCTTTTAAATACTTTTTTATCGCTGCCTAATAATTTGTAATTAATTCTTAAATATTATTACTATATATTATACATACATATAAAAAACCTACTTTATAACTTTATTTTCTATATATAAATGTGTTTTATTTTATTGTAATTTTAATTACCATTTATACTTCATTTATTATTATTATTTCTTCTTTTTAGCTTATTATGTAATTCTATCTATTTTAAATAAGTTATTTCTTAAATTTTATTTGTTTAAAAAATAAATAAAAAAAAGTTTTATCTAATTTCTATTCAATTACAAAACAAAAACACACAAAACAACAAAAATCAATTCAATAAAGACTAATTCTTTTTTTAAAAAAACAAAATCCTAAAAGCTTTTTTTGCTTTTCTACAAATTTTATTTATTTTTTAATGGTGGTGCATGATTTTTTCACATTCTTCCTTCTACAAAAGGCTTCTTTTCTTGGTACATTGGATTCCCATACATTTTCACACTTTTTATGTAAAAAAAAAAAAACAAATAATAATTTATGCACTTTTATGAGTTAATTACAAGCTACTCCCATAGGGAATTCAAATGTATTTTATTTAAACTTATTTTATATTAATTTATATTATGAAAGAAATAATTTTGTGAAAGAACAAAACATTTTTTATATAAAGTTGCATAACTTTTACATATTCCAAATCTTAAAACTTCAAAAGTTTAGGTTAAATGTTGACAACATTTCTCTAAATGTGAAACAAGACAAGACAAAAAGGAATATAACTTTCGCCTTTGGAAACAAGAACTTTATTATCAGTTTTACTTGGATCACGACTGCCGTTGTTCTATTTAGGAGCATAAAA